GAACCCATTTCCCCCCTGTTTGCTTCCCTGGTAAAGATAAAGAAACCCTTTTCTCACCAGAAAAAAACGAAAGGGAAAATTTGGCACCGGCGAGATTTTCACCAAAAAAGCTTTTTTAACCCAAAAAAAAACCAGCCACGGCAACAAGAGATGTTTGAAACGACCGGTTGTCTCTGCAGAGAAAACTGGTGGTGGGGAGTTTTCAAAGCAGGTTTTTTTCAGCATTTCCTTAGAAGAAGGAGGAAAAAAAAAAAACCAAAACCAACCAGCAATATTTTTGGACTAGCTTCGCTCTATATAGCCGGAGGAAGCACTCCCCTACCTACACGCCGAGCACCATTTACATTTCTCTCGCAAACGCTCATCCTTTGGGATTTCGCCGAGATGCTGCCGCACCGAGAGAGATGCGCATGCCGTGGGAATCCAACCCTCCGGGGCAGGAACGCCCGACCCACCCCGGTGCTCGGGGAAGCGCCGAGCTGCTGGGACCCCAAGGACCCCGTGGGGGGGGGGGGGGTGACGACTCCCCGGGATGTCGGGCCCCAGCCAGTGCCTCCAGAAACGGTTCCTGGGGTTGGCTCTGCTGGGAGCATCGGGGTCCACCAGCACCAGCACGTACTTCTTGCTCTGCAAGAGAGGAGAGGAGAGCGCTATGGGCACGGCGCACGGGTCCGGAGGCTTGCACCGGCGGCATGTGAGCAAGGAGCATCCCTCCAGGAGTTTCATCAGCCCCCAAAATGTATGGGTTTTTCGCAACTTTCCCCTGCACGCACACGTTGACAGCTGCACTCATGCAAAACAGAGAAGGCGAGCGATGAGCATGCACCGGGAGAACGCGAGGGCCACAAGCCCGCTCGGGATGATTTACTCCTCGCGATCTAAATCTCTTCAAAGAGAGGAAGGATAGCGGTTTTCTGCTACCTCCAAATAAAAGGCACCAAAGAGAATTTCCTCTCCCGCCAGCCATCCTCTAACCACATCCTACAGCAGCACAGGGCAGAGCGACGCACAGGGGACTTTCTGCAAAGGGTTGCTATACCTGGGAGAGGGGGACGGGATATTTTGGGGATTCAAATCCAGCTCCAGCCCCAGGGCGGTGGCTGGGGACAGGCTGGACGCCCCAGGCTCTGCCTGGGTGGCTGAGAGGAGCTAAGCTCTACCTAACCAACCCCAAACTAACCAAAAGACTAACCCTGGAGGGCTGCGAGGGCACTGGGGGCATCGCGCTGCTGCTCGCCGACGTGCACCAGGGATGCTGCAAGAAGGCAAAGCTCCTGCCTCGCCACGCACTCGGGCGTTCGGGCAACTGCTCCTGGGCGATGGCAACCAGGCAAAGAGAGCAGGGACTCATGGACGACGCTGGCTCAGCCCCCCAGCATCCCCCACAGCCCTCCCCGGGTCCCCGCTGAGGGTGTCCAGCCCCCAAGGGTGCCACCGATGCTGTGAGACAAGGTCCCCTGAGGATGGAGCTGGGTTTGAAGTGACCTCTGGAGGCTGTGGATGGAAAACCTGCTGATCTCAGGGGATTTGGCAGGACCTCAGGCACCAGATTATCCTGCAAGCACCCAGATTAAGGGATCTATATCCTAATAAAACCTCCAGGTGCATCTGTCAGCTCGCCAGCGGTGCCACGCACCGCTCCAGCGTGCCCGAGGGCTGAGGTTTCATAAACGGCTGGGGGATTTAGCCATGCAATTCCCACCAAAATTAGCTGGAACTCTGTGGCTAAATCCCCCGGTCGCTTGGGAAACCAGGCAGGGATTTTCACAGCGAGATTGTTGGGGCAGAGACAACCTCTTAACTCTATTTCCTAACCCCTGGTTGGGGGAAGCAAGCCCCGGAGTATTGCCATGCCCAGAGGTCCCCCGTAGCCCCTTCCCTTTGCAGCCCACCATGCATCGCTCAGCCCCCCTTGGCAGACACCACCTCCACAACAAGAACCGGTTTAACCAGAAAACGTGGATTTCAACCCATTTAGCAAACAGCTTGCAACGGTTGCAAAGAAAATCCCAAGCTCATGCAACCGCCCTGCCCGGGAGCGCGGCTGGCAAGGCACTGCTGCCCTGGTGCATTCATCCCAGCCTGGCTCAAGGCATTCGCATCGCAGGGGGTTTACGCCAAGCATGCAGACATGTGCACGGAGAAGGAGAGGTGACGGTGCCACCGCGTGAGGCTGAAGCTCGGGACCTCGGAGCAGGGCTGCCACCTCCCTCCCCGCAGTGATCGCAGCTGCAGCCGGCTGCATCGCTGCGAGCATCCCAGAAAAAAAATCAGCAATATTCCTTGCCGGTGCTGAAATCAGCATTTAATGGGACGGAGGAGGGGGGGGAGAAGCAGCTCGACAACCCAAAAACCCGACGCTGGAAGTGTGAAGGAATTTGAGCTCTAACTTTGGGGAGGGTGCAGAGCTGAGCATGGCGTTTCTGAATCTCTCATCTCTGCTCGGGAGCCCAGCTGGTGGGAACAGAACGTGTAGTCATGGGACTGTCATCGTGTGCTGTCCAGGTTAACATGTAGCATTTCTATTACTATTAACAGACTTTCTGCTCCTCACTCCATCTGTTCTTCGAAATAATTGCAGTTGTACAGACCATGCCTTTGCTACAGGCAGGCTCTGGGGAGAGGATAGTGCTTTTATGCAAAAAAAAAAAAAAAAAAAAAAAAAAAAAAAAGGAAAAAAAAAGTGTTAAAAAATAACAGCAAACACGAGAATAGAGTGCAAGTGAAGTTAACAGCAGGCTCGCAATTCGGTACAGATTGTGGCCTAGAAAGGTGGCGGCGCACGCGGCCGGGGGCCGGCGAGGCCAGACCCCCGCGGGGACAGGAGCCGGGGTCAGCGGCCCCGAGCCGGGCTGGGACCGAGGGATTTTTCTCTCTCATTACCTGCGGGCCACCCTAAGAGGCACAATCCCTCACCTTCCACCTAAAGATAGCAAAGCCCTCCGCGACCCGAGTTAATCTCCCGGTGCTTAGGGGCCGTGGCATCCCGTGCCAGCAGCCGGGCGCTGCTCCCGGGGCTGCACCGGCCCCGCAAAACCACCCTGACAGCCGGGCAAACCCTCTGGCCGGTGTCCCCGAGCGGTGCTGCGTACCCCAGACACAGGGTAGGTGGTTTTTTGCTGGCTCTGCTTGCAAGCAACAGAGCAGCCCGAGTGCTGGTGATTTTAGGTTGGGTTGTTTTTTTTTTTAATGCTGAAATCCTTCCTCGACACAGGCTAACAGCATTAGCTGCTGTCAGGGCTCCAGACAGGAGCCAGCCCGGAGTGACACGGGAGCTGCTCAGCTTCACAAGCGTGAACCAGCCCCGGGGATTTTTGGAGAGGAGGAAAGCGGGTTTAGATCAGAAAATTCCTCAGTCCTCCAGCGCAGAAGAACGGGCGGTGTCTTACTTTGCAGAGGGAAGGGAGGAAGGGGGAGAGGGGGGAAAAAAGCCATTTTGGGTTACCACAGCTGAAAATTTGGGGTAACAAAGCACCTTGTCACCCTTTTCCACTCAACCCGGGGCATGGAGGAGCTGCTGGCACACGGGACCCGGCGCGTCTCACCAGTGTCACGCCAATGGCGACACAACCGGGCCCGTGCAAGGGTCACCCTTCCCCGCTCCCCAGCCATTCCTCTCGCCGGGGCGCTTTGCAATTAGCATTTAACCACTGCAATGAGCTGCTGCCTTCCCCGAGGGGTCGGCGCTGCAGCCGGAGCCATTGCTTTACCCGCTGGCCTTGCACCCCGTGTCCCCGGGCGCAGGCGTCCTGCCCTGCTTCGACACACAGCAGCAGAGCTGGTGGCAGGTGACAGCAGCGCTGCGTGTCGTGTTTTCCCTGCTAATTGTTTCTAGAGGGAAGCAGCAGCGATATATCCAGTTATTACTGCAGAAAGCACCAGCTACTCCGATTAGCCACAGGTTTAGGAAACTTGCTCCGAGCAGGCAGGGACTTTTCAAGAGGCGGGCGGGCAGGCAGGAGAGGGATTTGTGTGCTGAGGATACACACAGAGCTCAATAGATCCCGTGGAGCCAGGGCTGCACAGGAATTAAAGACTTATCCAAATGAAAGCAAATAGGGTGTTAAGCGACACACATGTAGAGCGAGCGGTTTCCTTGGAAACCAGCGCACATGGAAGCGGCACACATGCAGCGCCCTGGCGTTTTCGGCAGCGCCGGGGCGGCCACGGGGCTCTGCCCTGCCAGGGATGCCCGTGCTTGGCTGGGGATGGAGCCGGAGCAAAGCCCCATCCCGCCGGCACGCCTGCTGCAGGGCACGGAGAAAAATGGCACAAAATGCACTTTCCCCTGACTGTGAAGGGAAACCGGACGGTGCCTGGCTTTGCTGGCCCCACTCGTCTTAGAAATCCAATCCCAAAACTAAGGAACAAAGCCCAGGTGATGCGCAAAGCCCCAGCCAGACCCTTAGCCCAGTGCCCGCTTCCCGGCCCAGGGTATAAGTGGGTTTGGTTGATTTTGAAAAGTCCATCTGGATCCTCCCCAGCTCACCCACCCCTCGGAGCTGCTCCTCATTCACGCCTGCCCGGGGCAAGGGCTGTTACGCCGCTCATAGCAAAAGCTGCTGGTAGCATCCAGCCCCTCGCCACGCAAGGAAATAGGTGAGATTTCCAGCTGACCTAGTGCCACCCACGTCCTTTACAGCTGCTAAGGAATTTACCAAGGTAGGGAGCTGCTGCAGAAGCAAACCAGGGCACCAATAGATTAAGATGGAATCTGAGCCAAAAGGCCCTCCGCCTCCCCGAGAGCTAAAGCTCGGCAATAGCCCATATTATCTCGGTGCAAAGGATTTCAGGGTGACTGATGGCACGAGACGATGCAGACCCAGGCTGGCCAGTCCCTCCGCTGCAGAGATGGGATGTGGCGATGCATCCCGAACACGCCGCACCCAGGCGGGAGCTTGCACCCTGGCGTGATGGCTCAGTTTATGCAACTGCACACCAGAAATGCTAAATATACCCAAAGCGACCTGCCAGAGCAGGGCAGGAGTTCCTGGATGGGCAGGGAGGTGGGCAGGGTGCCCAGCGTCCTGGGAATCACCATCCCGGCTCTCCCGGGCCGTGGCTCGAGGGCTCCAGCCTGCGTCCCGCCGGTGCAAGAGTCAAAGCGGTGCTGCTCCTCCTGCGAGGTGGAAGCGCTGCGAGCACCAGCTGAGAGCTGAGAGTCAATCTGGGCTTTTTTCTTGGCTTGTCCCCAGTACTAAAAAGTTTCTATAACGGGCACATAGTTAGCAATTCTGCTGCTGATGCTTCGCCAAAGAGAAATTCTAGCTCCTTCTTCGGTGGCTAACAGCACGGGGGGTGAGGCAGGCAAAAAATTGTTTGCAACCAAGTCTGTTATTGTGGCTTTGGGAAAGAGCCGCAGAGCGTGGCAGGATTTTACCTTCTTATTTTAAACCAGCACCTCACCACTTCCCCGCTCTTCTCCCCGTGCAAAAATAGGTCAGCAATATTAACCCTACTCCGCAGGACTTGCCCAAGGGGACAAGCGGCACCATCTGAACACATGCCCCAACTCCCCCCGCTGCAGGTCTGTGCTCCCTGCCCCAGCCCCGCGCTGCCGAAGGGAACTTCATTGACTTTCTAACACTCTGCAACTCTCCCCATCCCTTCGCTCTCCCCCGGGGCTT